TCGCTACTGCCCCGATCTCCTCCCCGTCTCCCCAGGAATCTCCTTTGCCTCTATCCCTGGCATCCCCACCGACCAGACACCCCGATGCTAATCCACACGGGGCTCCGCTGGCCAACGTGGGTCCATCCCGGGCCCGGAGCGGGTTCTGGAGTTGGGTCCGTCCGCCCATCCGCCTGTTCCCCGCCCGCAGTGCTGCTCTTGCCTTCAGCTGCCCCCGGCCGCGGCGGCGGCGGCGAGGATTCAGATCCGACCTCCACGCCCGGGAGCCCCCTCTCTCCCGCCGAATATGAGCGCTTCTTCGCACTGCTGACCCCCACCTGGAAGGCAGAGACTACCTGCCGTCTGAGAGCCACCCACGGCTGCCGGAACCCCACCCTTGTCCAGCTGGACCAGTATGAGAACCACGGCTTGGTGCCCGACGGTGAGGGCCCGCCTCCTGGGGCAGATTTGTGCTCGCTGGAGACGGGCGGGTCTGGCCGGCCTCTGGCCCTGGGCCTGTAGTCTCCACTCTCCAGACCCAAGGCGCCCACCGCCCTCAGGAGGGAGGTCCCCCTTGTGTGTTCACCGTCTGCACCCCTGCCCCTGCCCAGGTGCTGTGTGCTCCGACCTCCCTTACGCTTCCTGGTTCGAGTCCTTCTGCCAGTTTACTCAGTACCGTTGCTCCAACCATGTCTACTACGCCAAGGTGAGTCCCAGGACAAAGATGGATCTGGTGGCGCAGGACAAAGGGAGGGGCAGTGGCCGTAAGGAGCTGAGGAGGGCCATCCGTAGGGCGTTCTTCCCTGCCACTTGGCCAATCATTTACCCAGATTATGTATGAATGCAGACTCCCTTTGGGCATTCAGATGGTCAGAACACTCCTGATAACTGTAAGAAAAGGAGGGGAGAGGCAAAAAGATAAGCCCTTCCATTTCTTCTAACAGCCAGTGAGTCACTCAAATCAAACATTAAAGACCAAAGGCAGGGTTGTGTCCAAGACATGGAGTTTTATCTTGCAAGGAAACCCTTCCTCAGGTCTAGAGGGTTCCACCAGGGACCCTGTGCCTTCGCCCCTGCCCAGGAGCTGTGAGCGAGGCAGCTGGGAGAGGGACTGAGGAGGAAGCTGGGGTGAGGCATCCCTTTGGGAAAGGCATTCCCACATCCCTTCTCTTCTTGCAGAGGGTCCGATGCTCCCAGCCAGTCCCCATTCTCTCACCTAACGCTGACCAGGAGACAGACTCTTCTACTGAAGCACAGCCCTCCACCATGACCTCTCCCATGCCGTCCCACAACACAGGTGAGACCCTCCCAACCGAGGAGACTGGTGGTAGGGATACGGAAAGAATGTTGAGCAAGAGTGGATGATGGATACAGGCATCTCTTTACATAATGGGGAATCTGCTTTTTTAGGAATACAAGTTAGAGCTGTCCTGTCCCAGAATATCTTCTGGCATTACTTCCAAGGCTGCCCCAACTCCATTGTTCCTAGCTCCCCAAAACATACCCAGCACTTTTGTAAGCTAACATCTTCAGTCTAGAAAGGATTAGCTGCCAGCTATTCAGAATATGTGCTAGTTCCTCAGTGAGAGAAACAACAGGTGGAATTTGAGGTGGCAGCTAAGAGGGGCACTGGTAGGGAGGTGGAAAGGTGGCATACCACCAACGCCACAATCGCCATGGTAATGTTATTTTGATATTTGTATTCTTTTCTGTGTCATCTATACCTGACCGTGTGAATAATTTGGATTGAGGCTGCTTTCTTCTGCCTTGGTGTTTATGTGTGTGTCTCACTGAACAAAAACATTCAGAGGCCAGAAAGCTGACTGTTCCTTTCCTTCTCTTTCTTGGTCCCTCCCAAACCCTGCTGCAGCCACAGAACGGCAGGCCTTCCAGCCCTGGCCCGAACTGCTCAAGAACAATGTGGAGGAGCTGCTGCAAGCCTCCATGTCCCTGGGAGGCCCAGAGCGGGTGTCAGGCCACAAGCAGGGTCAAAGGCAGGAGCAACGACAGGAGCAAGGACAAAAACATAAACAGGAGGGAGAGCAGGAGCAGGAGAAACAGGAGGAGGAGGAGGAGGAAGAGGAGGAGGAGGAAGAGGAGGAGGAAGAAGAGGAGGAGGAGGAGGAAGAGGAGGAAGAGGAGGAGGGGGAGGGGGAGGGGAAGCAGGAGGAAGGACAGGGGACAAGGGAGAGACTGCATGCCTTGTATGGGCTGCAGACAGACTCAGAGCCCAAGCACCAGGCTGGTTTATCTTCCAACCCTTTGTCCTTCGCTGCCCGGGTGCGGAAAGTGAAGTCTACGCCTATGATGATGGAGAACATCCAGGAGCTCAGTCAACCTGCCCAGGAAAAGGATGAAATGAGTGAGGTGTTTGATGAAGACTCTGCTTGGAGAAGCCAAAACTCTGGCAGGTACAGGAAATTCTGACTCCTCTACTTTTCCTCCTACCTTTCCTCCTACCTTTCCTCCTGCCTTTCCTCCTGCCTTTCCTGCTGCCTTTCCTCCTGCCTTTCCTGCTGCCTTTCCTGCTGCCTTTCCTCCTGCCCTCTTTGCGAATGAGAAGCCCACTTTCCAACTTTGACCTCCAGACCCAATCAGACCTGCTTGGGCTTCAGGCGCACCTAGTAACTGCCTGCCTCACCTGTTCTTTGGCCATCATTGGTTTAAGTCCTGCCTTAGATGCCTGTTCCTTAAACCTGGAGCTACCAGGCTTGAGTTCTGGTCTTGTTTATGGCCTTGATAAACACTGCAATTTTGAGGAAGTTACTACCTTTCCTGCTGCCTTCCTCCTGCCTTTCCTGCTGCCTTTCCTCCTGCCTTTCCTGCTGCCCTCTTTGCGAATGAGAAGCCCACTTTCCAACTTTGACCTCCAGACCCAATCAGACCTGCTTGGGCTTCAGGCGCACCTAGTAACTGCCTGCCTCACCTGTTCTTTGGCCATCATTGGTTTAAGTCCTGCCTTAGATGCCTGTTCCTTAAACCTGGAGCTACCAGGCTTGAGTTCTGGTCTTGTTTATGGCCTTGATAAACACTGCAATTTTGAGGAAGTTACTTCCCCTTTCTGGACCTCAGTTCCTCATTTTTAAAAGGAGGCAGTTGGTCCAGAGGCCTCTAAGGCCCCATCCAGCATGCTGAATGTGTGTGACCAAGAACAGAGTCTGAGGGAAAGGAAAGAGAATGGATGTAGCTTTCTTCCCCACCAACCAGGTCTGTCTCCTTGCAGCCTCTTGCAGCTGCCCCATGAGGAGGCCTTACTGGTGATGTGCTATTCCATTGTGGAGAACACCTGCGTCATGACCCCCACAGCCAAGGCCTGGCGGCACTTGGAGAATGAGATCCTTGGTTTCGGGAAGTCGGTAGGCCCAGCATGCTGTTTAATGGATACTTGCTCACTGGGCATCCTCTGGGCCTGGCACTATTAGGCCTTGGGAGTGGGGGGATGGGCAGGGATACAGACAGCATGAGGCATCACTGGAGAGGTCCTCTTCAAGTGGGAAACCTTCTTTGGAAGGACATCTCCAGCTTACCTTAAAGGAGGAAGGCTCAAGACTAGTCTGGAATCCATTCCAATTCAGAATTCATTCTTTTTTTTAAATATATTTTTATTGATTTCAGAGAAGAAGGGAGAGGAAGAGAGAGATTGAAACATCAATGATGAGAGAATCATTGATCAGCTGCCTCCTGCAGGCCCCCTACTGGGGACCGAGCCCACAACCCAGGAATGTGCCCTTGACCAGAATCAAACCAGGGACCCTTCAGTCCACAGGCCGACGCTCTGTCCACTGAGCCAAACCGGCTGGAGCCAGAATTCACTCTTCAGCTCTCTGATTTGTTAGGCTTGAGTAACTTCTGATCTAGTTCACCATCTTCAAACCTTGGCTTTACCTTAGATGCAGCTCTCCTTTCCAAGGCGGGCATAGAACCCATTCCAGGGATCTGTAAAGAAATTCTAGTCTCGATGTGTCCTCACCACCTAGCAAGTCCTATTCCCAGGAAAATATCCTTTAGATTTTTATTTTTTTAAATATATTTTATTGATTGTTTACAGAGAGGAAGAGAGAGGGACAGAGAGTTGGAAACATCGATGAGAGAGAAACATCGATCAGCTGCCTCCTGCACACTCCCCACTGGATATGTGCCCGCAACCAAGGCACATGCCCCTGACCGGGATCAAACCTGGGACCCTTGAGTCCACAGGCCGACATCTATCCACTGAGCCAAACTGGTTAGGGCTCCTTTAGTTTTTTAAATAACACAAGTTAGCAAACATCTGTTGGGAGTTGGTATGCCATTTATTCATCCATTTGTTCAACAAATATTGATTGATCACCAACTCTGAACAGGTATTTGAGATATTAACGATGAGCACAGTAGATCTAATTATCGTGGGGGCTCTTGAAGTCCTAGTGGGAGAGGCAGATGAGGAAACAGGCAGAACAGTGTGACAGGAGAAACGCTGTGATGGATAAATACAAAGTGTAGAGAGAGCGGAAGGGGACAACTGTCTGTGTTTGGGAAGATCAGAAAATGCTTCTTAGAGGAACTGACGTTTACACTGAAACCTGAAGAGAAAGGAAGTTAACCCAGCCAAAGAAAGGACTTGGTAGAAGCTTCCTGCTAGAGGGAATAGCATGTGCAAAATCTGTGAGGCAAGAAAGAGATTTCATGAGGGACAGACCAAGAGTGAACATATTGCTCCTGCCCTTAAAGTACCTGGAGCCCACGGGGGACTTGGCAGCATTACAGAAGGAGTATGGTAGGTGTTGGAGAGAGGTTTTTAAGTGTAGGAAGTTCAGGAGTCATGGGGAGCCCACTGGATTTTAGGGCTTGGGTAAGGGAACAGTAAGGAGCCCATTTTGCCTGGAGCAAAGCAGCAAGGGATAGAGTCAGAGAAATAGTAAGAGCCACAATGTGAAAAATCCCAGGTGGCAGTCTGGAGCATTTGTATTTAATTGGGTAGGAAAGAGGAACTTAGTAACTAACCATTTTTGGTGAGAGACATGACTATGCCTCCCTTATGAGCTGTTGTGCGGAGTGAACAAGGAGATTCTTTGCACCTGTGGTGTGCTGGACCCATGGGTGGAGAAGGAAGAGGCTGGGATTGACTGCAGATTTCCTGAGGAGACCGAGGGACTCAGGGCAAAGAACCTAGCTAGGAGATGGGGAGCTCCACTCTAAAGAATGTCTTCCAGGCACTTGGAGGCTTAAACCTAAGTAGAGTATAGGTTTTGAAGTTAGAAGGAGTAGATCTATGTCTCAACTCCACCATTTATAAGGCATATGCTTTTGAGCAAGTTAGCTTCACTGAGCTTATCAGTCAAATGGAGATATGATGAGGGCTAATGTGCAGGGCTCCTGTGAGGACTAAATGAGATGATAGCATTTATATCCATGGTGCTTAGCCCTGTGTCAAATACTAGCACTATCATTAGGAAAGACAGAGAAAAGGGGAAAGTTAGGAGATCTATTCAGATAGTCTAGGTGAGAGGTGGTTGTAGGTCACCCGAGGGTGGGCAGCTGTCAGGCACCTGGCAAGTGAGGATGTGGAGCTTGGGAAAGAGATCAGAACGGATGATGAAGATCTGGGTGTCACTTGCAGAGAGATGAAGATTACCTGGGAGTAGAGAAATCATCCAATGAAGAAATAGAGTGCTGAGGCGAGGTCCTTGAGGAACCCTTGTGGAGGGGGGCAGGGAGAAAAGCTTTTGGAAGAGCCTGGATGCAAAGACATTGTGGGAACTGCTCTGGAGGGCTGAGGTCTCAGCCTCAGCCTCTTAACTACATTCCTGCCGTAGGTCTGTGACAGCCTTGGGCGGCACCACCTAGCTATCTGTCCCCTCTGTGCCTTCTGCTCCCTGAAGCTGGAGCAGTGCCACTCGGAGGCCAACCTGCAGCGGCAGCAGTGTGACGGTTCCCACAAAACACCCTTCATGAGCCCCTTTCTCTCATCCCAGAGTATGGCCATTGGCATCCAGGTACCTAGCCAGTTGGGCAGCCTCAGTGGGGGAGGCCTCAGGCTCTGGACGTCTATCTGGAAGGGAGACCTGCAGGGTGCGCAGGGGTTCACACCTCTCCCCTGTCCCCTCTGCTACAGATGGGGAATGTAAAATCGAGCCGCTATTACGGGCTGGATACTTATGGCGGGCTTCGCATGGATTTCTGGTGTGCCCTGCTAGCCACGAAGGGCTGTGAAGATACCCGAGTAGCTGGCTGGCTCCAGACTGAGTTCCTTAGCTTCCAGGATGGGGATTTCCCCACCAAGGTCAGAGCCTTTC